GGGGGGGGGGGGGGGGGGGGGGGGGGGGGGGGGGGGGGGGGGGGGGAGCCAGCTACCAGCTGACAGCAGGAGGACAAATGGTTCCATAAATGACCATGGACCCGCAGTTTGTTACATACACATTACAAGTCTCACATTCAGCTCTTTCAAAGGCATTTACGTCTCAAGATAAATAAACAAACCTTGACTATTGGGGAAGACAGCCATGCTGTAGATGTAGTTGTTGTGGCTGTAGTAGACCTGCACACATTCGCCTGTCACCAGCCACCTTCTGATACTCGCGTCATTGCTGCAAGAGAAGAACTCCGTGTCGCTGATCACTGCTAGCCCCCTCACACAGTCCTCATGACCTGGAAAGAAAGAAAAACAGGTTGCGTTGTAATCATGGATTATAAATGATGGAGCCCCTGGATCCCCAGACAAATGTTTGGAATAGTCAACCCGCTGCAAACTCTCACCTTCATACGTCTTCTCACAGCGGCCAGCTTTCCAAAGCTTTATGGTCTTATCTGCTGATCCAGACAACATAAGGCCTTGTTCAGGTAAGATGATCACGGCCCACACTGCTGCCGAGTGGCCCTGTAGTCAAAATGAACAAGCATAGATTTTGCTCCATCACAACGATAGATAGATTCGGAGAAAAATAGATTTACAGAGTAACATCACAGAAGCTTCAGCATACCTCTAAGGTCATCATGCACTTCTCATTGAGCCAGACTTTGGCTGTGTTGTCCCACGAGCCGCTCAAAAGTGTCCCAAACTTCCCAGAAGACAGAGTGCAAACTGTGGGGATTCAATAACAAAAGAGCAAATTAGATGCTTATTAGATTGTAATTACCCTGAGAGTATACAGCTAGGCACAACCAACTCACCTGTACTTCTGTGACCCGTGAGAGTGAATAGAGGCTGTGATTGGTCCATTGTGAAAACGCATATGTTGTTGTCATTTCCACCCGTGGCAATAAGTCCGCGAGGGTATGTATCACTCGGTGCAATGACACATACACAGGATACAAAATTGGAGTGGCCAGACAAACTGTGTATCTCTGTGAAACCTTTGTCTGGGCTGTCAAGAGAAGGGGAAAGAAGAGCAAAGACATTAAATGATTACTTGTGTGGGAACAAGTAGTGGAAAATTGTGTGATTACTTTCAAGAAAAGGCCAATAAATCAACTAACAGACAAAATCCATAATACCAATCTGAACCTGGTGAAATTTAACAAGTACTCCATCATCCGCGCTGCTAACAGTCAACACTGAGTTGCAGTTGAATGAATGACAAAGCTAATTTGAGTAAACGTTAGCAAACCGCTTGCTAGCTAACTTAGCTACCCACATTAACACGACTGTATTACTGTTAAATAACTTCACGGGGGTCGTTAATTGACTTGCAACTAATCTTGGTTCGGGTACCTATCCTAAAGACAGAGTTGACGTTGCGTACAAACTGAAATAAATCCAACAACCACAGTTAGTTAGTCAGTAGCAGGCTAATGCTAGCTACCTTGAGTTTGGTACCCAGACTCTTCCGGTTCGGTCTCTGGACACAGACACGAAGGCTCCATCTGGAAAAACGGCAGATGCGAGTCCCCTAACGTCCATTTCGTGTCCCGGGATGGAGCACCTGAGTTTGTATGAGTTAGATGATGCCATTTTGCCCCGACGACACGATAAAACTACCACAGTAGAGTTATGTTTAAGCGGCGTTGCTGTCAACAAACACCGGCCGCTAATGCTAGCGGAAGTTGAATGACGTCACTGACGTGTCAGGTCAGACAACTCACCGTTCAAATTAATATGTTTTAATTTGATTTAAATCATATATAGTACATAATTATAATACAATGAGTGGTGGTAAGTTTAAAGCATTAATGTCGATGTACTATTTAAAAACACAAAAACACAAGGGAACGAAGCGGACTGCCTCTACGTGTAGTACTCATGTTGCACCAGAGGGGGGCAGCAGACTGTTTTCCCTGTTGCCGATGGTGCACTGCGCTCTCGAGTCCACCGCCCACCTGTCCAAAATAGCTTAGTCAAGTTACCGACAATCAGGATACAACAGGAAACTCGAAAGATGTTAAAATAAAAGCCCAAGGGGGTGTACAGATCGGAGTACTCGCATTCATCATCTCCCACCAAAAGAGTAAAAATTATTCTCTAGAGAGTTTAGACAGCAATTGTCAATATCAAAACAAGATTAGCCTTTATGTGAATGTTAAAAATGTAGTCTGTTCACCAACCATGACATGAATCATGAATAGATACATCGATAATGCTTATTATGCTAATGCTAATTCATTTTCTGTACACTGTGTAATCCTTTAAAGCGTTTTTTTCCCTTTATAGCTTTTCTTTATATTGAGGGAATTCAGTAACTAAATAAGTAAAACATTTAATAAAAAATAAGTTGAAATCATCTTATAAAACTAAAAATGAAATGTATCAAATAAGACCCTTTCAGAGAGCTACTTAAATATGTGTTTATATGTATCGCTAGAATTCAGTCCCATCAAAAAATGTTTTATTTTTTAAACATAGATAAACCGGAAATACATGTTTTTTTTATTGCAGGTAGCAAACTACTGCTCCTGTCCAGCCTACAGAGGCTCGGATGAGGAAGTAAGCACACTGATACGTGCGCTGAGAAAGACGGCAACAAAAAAAAGTAGGTATGGTTTTATTTTAGCGTGGGAAATAATGACTGACGCGTAATACGTTGAATTGTATAATGTGCGAATGAATACCAGGTAATTAATTCACGCTAGCCCGCTGATGTCAGCTAACACAGTAAAGGCTACAGAGCCGAGCCCATCGCGCCTGTCAGTGGTATCAGTAGTGTGAAGGATGCAGCACGCGAGGTTGGGCAATAACAAGGTATTTAGTGCAGACTAGCAGGTTTATACGGGCCGCTTGTGCTCATTTTAGACTGGGTTGGATTAGCAGATAATGCTAATGTTAAAAAAAAAATTATTGCAAGGTGTTGTAAGGTAAAGGTTGGGCTTGTTTATCCACACAGGTCTGCTTTATTACACAGTAGTAGCAATAGTAGGCCTGTGTTTGTGCCCTCCTCAGAACGATAATACTACTTAATATTAATGGTATCTCAGTCGTATCATCTTACTGTTGGTCACTCATCTATACAGACTAACGTTCACAGTTATAAAACAGCAATAGGCCTATACAAATGTTGTCTAAATGATGTTTATTCAGCCGATACCTGAGATCTGTTTCCCATCAACAAATCTCCATTGTGGTGTGTGTTGGGGTTTTGCTGTAGGTGCC